GAGTATTTAGGTGACACCACGGTTGCAAGTGTCGAGAAAAAATAAAATCAATGTGCTCCCTGCAATGGAGAGGACATGCCCCGGCTAAGTCTATGCTCGAGATTTGTTTTGACATCATTATATTGAAAAAGGTAGAAAACCAAAGTGAAAAAAAATTCTGTATATGACAACATTTACACATTTATATATTGAACATTTACTATCTGAGTAGTTGGGCCCACGTAGTTTTTTTTTTCTCTCTGTCTGCCCGAGAAGCCCAGGAATGAAATGTGCTTGGGCACGGCGCGCCACCTACCGTTTTCCCTTCCCTCCCCCCGAAATCTGAATCCAAATCTCGGCCGACCCCGCCGCCCCATGCCTCCCTCGCCGCCGCAGCCGCCTCCGCCGGCCACGGAGGAGGTCGAGGTCGAGGTGGAGGACGCCTCCGACGACGAGGCGGCGGGGGGAGAGGCGCCGCCGCTTGCCCCGGCCCCGGCCCCTGCCCCGCCGGCCGGCGGGGGCGCCGAGGCGAGCCGTGCCGCGTCGGGGTCCGGGGAGGCGGCGGGCGGAGAAGGGGCCGACGAGGAGGACGAGGACGAGGATGAGGACGACGAAGAAGACGACTCCGACGACGAAGAAGACGAGGATTCGGAGGATGAAGGGGACGAGGACGAGGACGAAGACTCCGACGAGGAGGGCTACGACGACGACGACGAAGACGAAGACGAGGACTCCGATGAGGACGATGACGACGAGGAGGACGAGGACGACGAAGACGACGACGAGTAGAATGGGATGGAAGTGGAGCCTGCGGCGTTCGCATCTGGTGAGCACAAATTTCCCCCTTGTGTTTTGCTGTGCTCTTCGACTAGATTAGTGCTCCCGAACTGACAATGAGCATGACGTGCTCGATCAAATGCGCAAACCCCACTGCTGCTACATCCAGATCTCGTGGCCATGCCGTGCTGAATGTGGCATGCAATTGGGCATTTGGGAGAGACAAGGATAAACTTTTATCAGTAACAAAATGATCCTTTTGTGTAGATAATGAGGTAACTGAAAAAAACATTGCAGGCAGTTTGGTCATGAAAACATAAGTCACAGCTAAGCAATTTTGGAATCATGCTAATGTCTGCTAAATAGTGAGGTAACCTGTACTCCTTTAAATAGCATCAACCAATGCCCTACTTATTATGCATGCATTCTTAATTTTTATCATGGTACATTCAGGCTGGATACATTCTTGATTCTTATTATGCAAACTCTGTAAATAGTATCAACCAATGTCCCTGTTTAGTTTTAGCAGTTTTGTCATGATACATTCTTGACGTTACGAAAATAAGTGGTGCAGATGTGGAGTTTTCAGCATGAACCTGTGGAATGCATATATGTGGGACAAGAACTTCAGCTCTACACTTTGTGCTTCCAAAAAGAAAACTTCTCTCTGAACAATTTCAGTTGTAGGATAATGTAGTTCAGTTTGTAGCGGGCCTCTAATCTAGTTCCAACTCTGAACATATACAAGAAACACGATTGACTTATCAAAATGGTTCTTACTGTTGTAATGCAGGGTGAGGATGAAATGAAGATGCAAAGGAGAAGAAGGGTCGGTTTGCACTGATGCTCAAGTGTATGTATGTATGTAAGGGACGGCAATCGGTAATCGAATGTCGCGGATGCAGAATATTGGCTACGGCGTGACTAGATATTGGCCTCAGGGTGACCTCTGAAGCTTCTGTTGCTGATCCTCTGTTTCTACTATGTACTCTGGACAAAAATTGTATTGTTCTGCTCATCTGAGCCCTGTATCTGCTATTTGAGGAGGAAACTTTGCGTGCCACGATTCTATATTTCGTTGAAAACTTACGAGTCATTCATAAAACTTTGAGTGTATCATCAGTGAATGGATTTTCGGTTCCGCTTTCAAGAACCTCACTGAGTGGGAGCAAATCACCATCTAGTTTTTCACGGCGTGTGTTTCAAATTCAGCAGTGTGTAGAACTGTGCCGTACAGTGATGTGGATGCAAATTCTATGTGGGAAAATTCAGTAGGAGATCGCATGATAAAATATCTCGTAACGAAGTTTTAGGCATATGTAGAAATACATCTGTATATACCTGTGGGTTTTTTTAAAGAACATTTTGACACTTTTGAATATTGCCCTATACGTAGCCAAAAAAATTATGTAAAAATATATACTACCTCTGTAAAGTAATATAAGATCTTTCTTTTAAATCATTAATCTTTATCTTTACCCTTTTTTTTACAAAAAAGCCCCTGCGGTTTGCTGAAATCAACCCGCAGTACTACAGGAATCAAGTAAAAAAAATCTCTCGCTGGCACAATTCCTCGCCCGAGTCCGAGGCCGCCGTCGCCCTGCCCGGCCTTGCCCGTGCCGCCATCTCCCTGCCCGTCCTTTCCCGGCGGCGCGCGCGCTCGCCGCCCTGCTAGCGTTCCATTCACTCTTTTTTCAAAGGGAGAAAAAAACATGAACAGACATGAGGACGGACTCTTCCTCGCCTCTGGATCCTAGCCGCTAGGCTCGCGACCCACGCGACGCTCAATCCGATGCCGGGGATCGCATCACCCGGCACCACCGTTCCGCTTCAGCTCCTCTCACCAGCGCGCCCGAGCTCCTTCTCTCCCTGCCTTAGGAACCAAGTCTTGTGCCTGTGCTAAAATTTCAGATTCCAATTAATAGTCCCACCTGCTCTATTACATAAAATCCAACCAACTTATTTCATGCATTACAAGATCAACAAGCCAACAAAAAGCGGATGAGATGTTCATGTTTACCCTAGAGAAATCAAGAAAGCTGCCTGCCGCATCTACTATATGCGTCACCAATTGAAAATGAGCAAAGAGGAGATGCACATGAATGCGTCACCAATTGAAAATGAGCAAAGAGGAGATGCACATGAATCCAAAGAAAAGCACCATCGGTGCCAAGCCTAATAGAAAGAAATGTCTTAGCTTAATTGCCATTTGAGCTAATAATCCTAAAGAAGGAGAGAGAGCCGAACTGAAGATACAGAGAAAATTGATGCCCATTGCTGGTACAGAGACCAGCTCATGGAAGAGAAAACCGGGGCCTAGGGGCTTTCACCGGAGGCAACTTCGGCACTCCCACATCCGTGGCCACCGGCAGACGAGCACCACCACCAGACCGCCCCCCGCGCGTGCTGGCCAGCCGCCAGATCTGGCGCAACCGAGCCACTGCACACCTGCCTCGCAACCTCGGTTGCCCCCAGCCACCCTCCGGGAGGAGGGGCTCCATCACCACAGCAAGGAAGGGGGCTCCGCCCCGGCCCCAGTGCGCCGACGAGCAGTCCACCAACGCCCCAGCCGTAGCCAGAAAGCACGGCGACGCTGTCAGCTGGGATGTGGCTCAGGCCAGCCACCGCGGCCAAGAATAGGAAAGCAACACTTGGGTGGTGAGGCGGATGGAGAAGAGGAGAAGAGGAGGAGGAGCAACGATGGGTGGTCAGGCAGCAGGAGGAAGATGGAGGCTGAGCGGCGCTTGGGTGATGAGGAATGGCGACGTGTTGTGGATAAGAAGGGACACGCAGTGGGCGGTGACATCGGTGGGGATTTGGTGGTGCCTGTTGCTTTTTTTAATCAACTGTGGACTAGAAGCTGCTCGATGCAGACGTGGTCATCCGAGCGACATCACCAAGGAACAATTCCAGCCACATCTTGCTGAAACGGGACCTAGGATGTAGTACTAATCAGACCAAGATGAGTACTCCCTCTGTAAACTAATATAAGAGCGTTTAGATCACTATTAGTGATCTAAACGCTCTTATATTAGTTTACAGAGGGAGTAGTAAGTAATGTGGTATTTTTGCTAATTGTATTGCTGTGAGCTATTCGTAGGTGTATATCAATAAAGGGATAGTGTTATTCAGTTTGATTTTGCTTTATTCAATTGCTGCAAGACAAAATGTCTGTACAATTTTGATAGTTTTTCGTTCATATTTCACCCCATTTTTGTCCAAAAATTCAAATTTTGGATTGTTCATTTCGCCTGCGATCGTCGGAAAAAGTTCCAAAATTCGCTCATTTCATTCAAGGGTAGTAATATTTCAAAATGATAAACAAAACCATGGATGGATGGATGAGCACCAATTATAACTACTTGTTGTTGTTGTTTGTTGTTACTATCATAGTTTACTATTCATGCCTACCACACCTTACAAATACATTATCAAATAGACTAATTAAAATTGGAAAGAAATACTACTTTTTAAGGGAGAAGATATTTGGGGCTCACGAGTACTCTGTGACGGAGGCAGGGGTGCGAGCAGGGGCCCCAGCCGAGGCCAACATGCAGATTTTTTCCATTACATGAGTAATTACCTGTTGCTAATATTGTGTTTCTCGACATGATTTAACATTAGTTGGCCCCCCGATTAAGTTTTTCCTGGCTCCGCCACTGCCGGTACTTGCTGACCATCAACTTATACCTCAAATCTGCTTGTCATCGATGTCGTTGGTGAGATAGGGAGGAGAGAGGGGGAATGAAGAGTAGAGAGAGTGTGACAATAGTGCATCTTGCTCGCGTCTTGTTTTGCCCCGCACGCCAGTTGGGAGGGGGTTATGGCACACACGGCGAACTCAAAAAATATGTTTCACATCCAACTTATAAATTATTCTCTTTTTTTGAGATCAATAGTAATTTATAAATTATCCTTTTGATTACACCTTTTCTGGTATATAAATTATTGCAACATCACTAATTTTGGTATTTTTTTCTCCCGTTGTAACGCACGGGCTCTTTTGCTAGTAAAGTAAAAGATCTTATACAGTATTAGTTTATAGAGGGAATACTATTTTAACATGAAAAATCAATATAATTCGGATTGAGAGCTCTTGGGCCTTAGTACTGGGTTGTTGGGCTGTAGTCCCGGAAATAGATGTAGCCCAGTTGACTTTGGTTGCCCAAAAGGCCCAGAATAAACCGATCCCCTCAGTCGCCTGAAGCTTCTTCATCTTCAGAGTCGCAATCCACTCCCCTTCCATGCCGTCCTCGCCGTCGCGGCCGCCGGCGGCGGAGGAGGTCTCCGACGATGAGATGTCCGACGGAGAGGTACCGCCTCGCCAGTCCGCGGCGTCCTTAGTCAGGGGAGTGGCGAACCGCGCCGCGCCGGGCTCGGCCGGCGAAGAGGAAGAGGAGATTTACAACGACGACGACGACGAGAGCTCCGATTACGACAACTCCTACGACGACGACGACGAATCCGATGAGAGCGGCTCGTACTACGAAGACGGCGAGGAGGAGGAGGAGGAGGGCGCCCGCGGGGACAGGGCCTTCGGGCGCGCGGAGGAGGAGGAGGCTGCGCCGGCCGGCGTGGGCGGCGGCGCGGAGGCGGAGGGGAGTTCCCGGGCGGCGGCCACCTGCTGCATCTGCATGGATTCCTGGGCCTCCTACGGCGCTCACCGCATCTGGTACATTTCGCCGCATCTGCATCCTTCACTGAAGAAATCCCTCATTCGTCTCTGAATAAAAATCTGTGCTTGATGCAGCTGCATTCCCTGTGGACATGTCTACGGCAGATCCTGCTTGGAGAGGTGGCTGCGCCGCGGCGGCAACACGAGCGCCAAGGTACTACTGCACTGCACATGATCATCATTTGATTTAGCATCAATCTTGCAGGCTGCAGATGTGTTTTTGGGAGGCTGCTTACTTAGCAATTTAGCATGGCAGTCTTCATTTGGAGGCTAAGTTACTTTTACCTGTTCACAGTGCCCTCAGTGCAGTGAAAGGTTCAAGCACAGGCACATCATCAATCTCTACTCGTCGTCGGTGCATCTCTGGAACGATTGCTGCCTCAAAGAGGTTGCGCTTTCTTTGCCTGTTCCTCTGTTGTATCGCTTCTGTTCAGTGAAGAACGATTTATTGGTCGCCAACTGCAGATTTGATACGACCAAGAGTTACGTTGTCGTACCATTCCATCTCTGCTTCTTAGACTTTATGTCATGTTTCTATGGGATGGATACGTGTTGTTTGGCACTGCACTTTTTAGCTTATGACCAAAATAGTAGTATCATCTTGCATTTCCTCTACCATTTCCCGTTCTCAATTGTTAGATTGTTACTGGTATTTTGAAATGAACTAGTTGGTTGTGGACTGAAATTGGTAGCGAAAAACATACAAAATGATGTTACACTGCTGTAAGGCGGTTCTGGACGACAGGCTGGTCGTGGGCATGGGGCCGAAGGCTCATGGTCGACAGCCGGTTCTGGATGCCGTGGTCACTCCTTCTATCTCCTACACACAGGTCCAAGCTACCGACCCGAGCCTGAGCCAGCGCACGAGCACGACCATGACAGGTGCGCAGTCACACTCCCTCCTAGCCGAGCGGCACTATGTAAGTATTTTCCCTCTTATCTTCATTGCTCACTTTATTTTCCGCATTGAGATGTTTAATGAGTTCCATCATGTCATATTCTAGGCCTACATGGAGTACACACGCCAGGAGACTATGGCGTGGAGCGCAAGATTTGCAGCCGTCGAGGACCACAACACTCGCATGATGACGGTTAGTTTAGCCCCTTTCATTTCATTTCCACATTTGCAATTTCACTTCTTCTGACATTCGTGTTTGCTTTGTCAATTAACATGTAGCTCATTTGTGAGAGCATGGTGGCCCGCACGGTTCCTGTAATGGAACCACCACCACCTATTGGACCACAACCAGTGCTGCTTACCTTCGAGGAATTTCTGGCACAACACCCAGGGACTACGGTGGTTAGTACATCCCCAAACTATTCAACCACCGCTTACCATTTATTCAACACCATCATATATCCCTGAACATGTCTTTTCAAACATCCAGGGAATCGGTGGATCATTCGTTGGTGGTGATGTCGGTCAGGGCGTCACTCCCGAGTCACGGAGCCCGGTCACTCCGATCCATCGAGGCGGTGGCGGTCTTGGCGGTAGCGTTGCCGCTAGCAGTGACGACCTGGGCTTTGTCGGACTTGGCGGTGGTGGTGGACGTCCTGGCGCTTAAGC